TCACAAACACAATAGAGTGGCGAAATCACGCCCATCTACTTCCGGTCCATGGGACCTTATTTCGGAAAAATAATGTATTGAAGTCAATGGAGAGAGAAAACTTATCTTTCGATCCCGTTTGAATTGTGCCATGAATTACACATATGATGTTTGTCAATTTAAAAAAATCATTTCCATGTCAAAAAAGTCACAGTTTGTCGTAAAACTGTTGAAATATAAGACTATGAAAAATACGCAACTAGAAAGACTACAAATCCCAGAGTCGCGTAAGTGATGTCATAATTGTTTTCCTCCACTAAGAGATAGCTAAGATCAGCGCCATATAGATATAATCTATCTATATGGCGCTGGCTAAGATAAGATAACTTTAACAAGATGCCTGTGTGCTTAGTACCAGGTTGTTATCATACCAGCAATGGGTCTTGCTCGTTCTTTTGCTTCCCGTCTGATGAAAGGACCAGGAGTGTCTGGATCAAGTTAGCTACCTAGCTAGTAGCTAGCACGTTAGTTAGCATTACAGCCTTGTCATTTGTATTAGCCTTAAATCAAATCAAATCAAATCAGGGTTTATTTATAGAGCACATTTAAAAGCGATTTTTGGTCGGGCCAAAGTGCTGTACATGTAATAACTACAATCACATAAAAACATATTTCTATAATCACAATAAAAGACAATAAATTACAACAGAAATTTAAAAAGAAAACACAGGGAAAAGTCAGGAGTCGTGCTCCGCTCTGACTAAAAGGCCAGGGAGAAGAAGTGTGTCTTAAGAGTAGATTTAAAAACCCCTAGGGTCTGGGCCGACCTCACATGGAGGGGCAGAGTGTTCCAGAGCCTCGGGCCAGCTGCTGCGAAGGCTCGGTGCCCTCGGGTTTTGAGCCTGGTCTTGGGCACTATCAGCAACAGCTGGTCAGCAGACCTTAAAGCTCTTGTTGGGGTGTAGTGCTGGAGGAGTTCAGCTATATAGGCCGGAGCCAGCCCATTTAGTGCTTTAAAAACAAATAAAAGGATTTTAAAATCAATTCGGAACCGGAAGCCAGTGCAGTGAGGCCAGAATTGGGGTGATGTGGTCACGCTTTTTGTGGCCAGTGAGTAGACGTGCAGCTGCGTTCTGGACTAGCTGCAGGCGTTTAATTGACGCCTGGTCCATACCCACGTACAGAGCGTTGCAGTAGTCCAACCTCGAGGTAACAAAGGCGTTAATAACCCTTTCCAGGTCCTCAAATGATAAAAACGACTTAGTCTTGGCCAATAGTCGTATTTTAAAAAAGCAGGTTTTGACTACGCTGCTGACCTGCTTGTCAAATTTAAAAGCGCTATTGAAGGTCACTCCAAGGTTCGTGACAGAGGGGAGGATATTATTTTTGAGGGAGCCCAGAATATCAACCTGGGAGGCTAGAGGTTGGGGTCCAAAAAAGATAACCTCAGTCTTGCTCTCATTGAGGTTGAGGACATTTTGGCTCAGCCAGGATTTGATCTCTGCTAAGCAGTCCATCAATAGCTGTAATGAGTTAACATTTGAATTGAGTGGCAGATAGATCTGTACATCGTCGGCGTAGCAGTGGAAGGGGATGTTGTGTTTTGTGAGAATTGAACCTCGGGGTAGTATGTACAGTAGAAAAAGGATGGGGCCCAGAATCGAGCCTTGGGGAACCCCACAGGTAAGAGGGGCTATGGCTGAGGAGAAGGCACCAAGCTGTACCGAGAAGCTACGGTCTGTCAGGTAGGACCTGAACCATGCAAGGGCAGAGCCTGTGATGCCAGCGGACTGTTCAAGCCGTGACAACAGGATGCTATGGTCCACAGTGTCGAAGGCAGCTGTCAAGTCTAACAGCACCAAGACAGCTGGGCTACCTGAGTCGGCGCCTAGGAGCAGATCATTAAAAACTCTTAAAAGGGCTGTTTCAGTACTGTGCATGGGTTTGAAGCCAGACTGAAACTTTTCATGGATTCCATGCGTGGTTAAAAAAGACTGCAGCTGGGCGTAGACTACTCGCTCCAGGGCTTTTGATAAAAAAGGTAGCTGGGAGATGGGCCTAAAATTTGCGAGAATGGAAGGGTCGAGATTTTTCTTTTTAAGTAGTGGCTTAACCACGGCATGTTTGAAGGCAGCTGGGACACATCCTGAGCTAAGAGAGGTGTTTAAAATTAATAAAATACTTGCTCCAACTGATCCTAAAACATCTCTGAGAAGGCGAGAGGGAATGCTGTCTGAGGTGCAGTTTGTCGGCTGCAGGTGCTTGACTACATCCGAGAGAGAAGAGAGGGATACAGGCTCAAAGTGGTCGAGGACAGCAGGGCACAGAAAAGGAGCAGGATCTGGGTTAGCACTAGTGTGGGCTAGCCTAAGAGCAGATACTTTTTCAATAAAAAATGTAAGAAACTTATCACAGAGAGTAGTCGATGGGGCACAATTGGAGGAACATCACAGGGATTAATGATAGAGTTGAGGACATTAAAAAGAACCTGAGGTTTATGGCTGTTTTTGGAGATTAACAGAGAAATGTGCTCTGTTTTGGCTGCTTTGACTGCCGTCTGGTAGTCAGAAAGGCAAGCACGAAGGATTTCTAAGGAGACATGGAGTTTATCCTTTTTCCATTTTCTCTCTGCATGCCTGCAGGTGCTTCTAAGAGCACGAGTACAGTCATTGAGCCACGGCTCTGAGAGAACTTTGGTGCGTCTAAGCGTAAAAGGAGCAACAGAATCCAGTATTAGTGTGCATGTCGAGTCAAACATGGAGATAAGCTCATCAGCACTAAAAACACAGTTCACCTCTAATTTACAGATAGGAGAAGCATTAAAAACATCAGAAAACTGTGAGGCAGTCAAGGGGTTAATCGAACGCAGACGACGCGCAGGGGCACGTGATTCGACTCCTGCGGAAGGGATCGAGGTTGTAAACATCACCGGTAAATGGTCTGAGATACGCGTTGCTGCACATATTTCGTCCACAGATACAGACAGTCCAAACGATAATACTAAGTCCAAAGTGTGTCCTTTTTCGTGTGTTGGGCCAGCCACGGACTGAACGAGACCAAGAGAATCAAGGAGATTTAAAAAGTCCCTAACCAGAGGTTTGGACTCGCAACACACATGGACATTGAAGTCTCCGGAGATCAAAACACGATCATATTTCACCATGATCCCGGACAGAAAGTCAGAAAAGTCATTTATAAAATCCTTATTGCACTTTGGCGGACGATACACGACTGGGCAGAGTATAGGCGAGGCCGGGTTCAGTTCAAAAAGCTGCAACTCAAAGCTAGCATAGCTAGTTACAGGGTGAAGCAATCGGCATTGGAGGCTAGCTCTAAACACTGATGCTATGCCCCCACCATGGCCAGTGGCACGGGGGGAGCTGAAGAATGTACAGTCAGGAGGAAGAAGTTCAGACAACGGTGTATACTCGCCAGCGTGGACCCAGGTCTCCGTCAGAAACATAAAATCCAGTTCACGAGAGGTGAAGAAGTCGTTTAGCAGGAACGTTTTGTTTGCTATCGACCTAGCGTTTAGCAAAGCCATGCAAAGTTTTCGCTCCGGGCTTGCCGAAGGTGTAGTGCGTCTCAGCTGACGAAGATGTGCGTGTTGAACTCCGCGCGGGCCGGGAGCAGTCAGTCGGGCAGGAGGAGCTGCCAGCGGGCCCAGCAGAGTCCGCAGCTCCGGAAAAACAGGGCGAATCCACCGATCCCTCACATGGCGTGCAGCGGGAGGGCCATGACATCCGAGGCGTGGATAAGTCCCAGAAGAAGCCGTCAGGTATGCCTTAAGATGGACCAGTGCACCACCACGCTTTCCCAGTCGTCTAAAGCGCTTTCGGCGAGGCAGGATGCAGGGCAACCGGCGCAGGTAGGTGGGAATATTCGACAGTAGAGGGGGGGGGGACGATTTATGGTTGCCAGATGTAGGTTTGGGCAGCAATATCAACTCCAGTGAGGGTCTGAGGTGGAGGAGAGCTTGGCGATCGTAAACGAGCAGAGCAGAGACATTCTGACAAACATAAAACAAAAACAGGATAGCTAAAGGTAGAGAGCTGAGGGAGCGGCGACCCGACACAGGCACCATCTTGAATCATGTCAGAATCACCGAATTAAGAATCACTTAACATGAAGTAACATTAAGTAACCCAAAATGTTAAACAGTAAGAGTAGCAGTCATATTTCGTGAACCCTTTGAAGAGTACTGTCACCGGTGTGATCATTCTATAATACACAATTTAAGCCCGGGGGACAAATGCTAACGCTAACGCTAGCATCGGCGATTGGCGATCTTTTCTACTTCATGCTATCTGCACAAATGGTTGAAATGAAAAAGACCAGGCAGTTCAGAGAGAATCAAAGGAAGGCAGGCAGGCAGCTTTGCATGACATTCTTCAGGGCGTGTTTCATTGTGGTGATAGTGAGGGTCGTCAATCGTTTTGTTGACAAGACAGTAGTGATGGCCATCTTGGTGACGTGTGTTGTTGACCAGAGATGTAGTTCATTGAGCGTTTCACACAAACAAATGTGTTACTTCACAGTTTTACGACACATCTTTTTTTTTTGACTTGCAAAATTATCTTTTAAATTGACAAACATCATATGTGTAATTCGTGGAACAATTCAAACGGGATCGAAAGATAATCTTTCTCTCTCCATTGACTTCAATACATAATTTTTCCGAAATAAGGTCCCATGGAGGTCCACCGGAAGGGGAGGGACTTCGCCACACTATGCAAAACATGTTAAAGCTCGGAGCATCTGGAGGAGATAACATGAACACATTTCACATTTAATTCCACGGTGGAAGATGTTTTAATGAATAATAGTTTAATAAAACACAGAGTGTTCACTTGATTCCATCCTTTATCAGAAATCTAAACACTTTGAGGGAACGTGTTAATCTTTATGTCATGGAAGAAGTTTCCTTCATAATTCTCCTTTATTCTTCTTTCTAGTAGCATCCCTCGTAGCTAGATTATATTTTACCGATTTTAAAATCAGACAGAAAACCTGGAGCCCTGGTTCAGTGTCTTTGGACACTGCCATGTCTGCTGGTGACCTCTGGTGGGTAAATAGATACATGAGTGCAATGATGATATATGTTATACTGTATGTTAATGTTATTATGTTAGTGGAAGACTTTGAGTAAACTCACACACTGAAGGAGAGGGGAAGTCCTCATATCCCTTCAAAGCACAGGAATAACTGTCTGCTGAATCATATCTGAAGTCTGCATAAGAAGATGTGTCTTCCTTCACTTCCTGTCCGTTCTTAAACCAGATGTAGGAAGTTTGACCAGGTGAACATCTGCTGAGACACTGAAGGAGAGTAGACGATCCTGATCTGTTCACCTGCACCTGGAGATCTGAATAAAGCTAGAATTAACAAAACTGTCATTATGTTCATACATAAATATAAATCAAAACATTCACACTATTTGCAAGAAGTTGAAAATAAGAAATGAATTGTTATAACTCAGTTATTGTCATAAACCCTGTGTAAATGTTACCTGTAACAGACAGAGTGGTTCCAGGATTACCCCAGTATCCAGCTAGGTTTGTTTCAAACCTGAACCAGTACTTAGCTGAGTCGCTCTCTGTCAGGTTTCTGATTCTCAGAGTGCAGATGTTGTTTCCACAGAGATCCTCTACACGACCTGCATACTCTGAGACTGTGGTCAGATCTAACAATTCACCATCTTTCTTTTTAGTGAACCAGAATGTTTTCTCTAATGTGTTAACACGACCTTTCCATCTAGATGGGTATGTGTAGCTGCAGTTTATCTCCACTGTTGATCCTTTCACTGCACAGATCTCAGTAGAAGTGTAACTCACTCCCCAGCCACCCTGACCCTGAACCGCTGTAACACAGAGCACACCAGAAACTATAATCAAAGTTAATCTATAAATTGTTGAGAAATTGCCTGAACAATACTTTCAACAAAGAATGTAAAAATAAACCTTTTACAGACTTTACTGGATCGAGCAGAAACACACATGTGAATTCCTTAGGCACTTTAAAACCAATGATACTCTTTGACTTTGTTGTTTCTTAATCAAACCAGGTAGAACAGAAGTCTACACAAACAGGGTATGGTCAGTTTGACACAAGGTTGGAAAATGCCTTCATATAAATGAATAGTGAATGATTAGCGATGATATTAATTAGAATAGTGTGTGATTCTCTGAACAGTTCCCTCTCTGCTCGCTCTGTGGTCAGGATGCTGCTGAGGTAAGAGTGAACAATAACTCTAAATGCAGAGCACTGAGGTGTGAGCAGCTTCTGTCTGATATACAGATAAGAAAAAGAAGAAGACTGCTTTTAACTCAGAGTGTGGAAATATAACACTGAGGTCAGAGAGGAGAGAAGGAACTAGAAGGGTTTGGTGCAGAGGTATGATCCATAAGAGTTGAGTCAATATGTTAAGACTTAGAACAAGAATATCTCTCTAAATCACTTAAACTTAATAAAAACAGAGCTGGAGATTCTTTAAGTCGTCTTAAGAAAAAAACAAAGCAATGTTTTCACAGAGAGAGGATGGAACAGTTCTGCATACACTATGTTCTCATTTTAACGCTTGTTAAGGTGATAAGCAAACTGATGTTCTATGCAGATGATTGGAGCAAAGGACAGTGGCAACGCACGATAAGATCTTTAGAATATCCATCAAAAACACGAGTACATTTAAAATGTTCCTGCTAGGTTTGCCTTTTACACGAATCCATCCCACTTATTCCCACATGTGACCTGATTTAACAAGTCCCACATTTCCCAGAATCCCCTCTGTTCATGTGATGAATGTAAGTGTAGATGTACAGTACCTGACACAGAGAGCAGGAAGACGACTAATCCACTTGCTGCTGCAGTTAGACTCATAGCTGCTCCTCTCCTCTCTGTGAGACTATACAACATGTCAGATTAAATAATGTTCACAGGAGGTATACAGAATCATTACATCAAGAAACTGTTTCTACTCACAGTGAAGGAGGAACCATGTGTTCAAAGATGCCTTTCCTCTGTAGCCAATGAGCAGAAGACGGATATCAGGATGTTAAGAGACTAGATTTCCTTCCTCTTTAGATTATTAGTATGCATGATGAGCCAAATGCCAGTTAACACCCACTACACAATTAAGTCATGTTTTTAATTTAGTAATCTCAAAGAACCCACAAAACAAACAGAAAAAACAGAACTTAAAAACATGCATAACGACTCAAAGGACAAGACAGAGCTAGGCAGGCAGGAAAAACACAATGGTACCCGGTGAACAGAATCAAAAATCAAAAAGGAGGGAAAACACAGAGACAGGAAGCAGACACAGACATAAGACAGGGGGTGAACACTTCTGAAAATAAAACAGGAAAACAGACAGACCGTCACGAAGGGGGAAATAAGTGTTTTAGTTTGGGTGAACTGACCCTTTAAAGCAGACGGTGGAGGGAGCTCTCTGAGTGATGAAGCCTGAATGTGTCTCACTTAAAGTGGACCTATCATGCTATATTTGAATAATATAGTGTAGGACCATACCTATATAAGGCATATTTATACTTTTTTTTTTCAAAATACCAAACAGATCATGCATTTTAGCCATGCCTCATTTTGCTCAATTTGACAATTTCTAGCTCTGTTTTTGCAAGGGCTGATTCTGTGAGAACAGCACCACCTACTGGCCTGGCATATGTACTACAGCGTCTCCAGCGCTTTCGAACGGCAATGGCCGTGGCTGTCTCCTCCTGATTGGTGGATTTGGCCCAATAGCCGTAGCGCCACCGTCCTGGCGTCAGGACAGTGTTCAAATCTGGATCAGTTTTTATCAGATCCGTTGCAGCCCCTTTTTTAGAGATTTGGGTATGGAGGAAAATAGAGAGGGTTGTGTTTTCTGACACTTGGTGAGTTCTCTGGAACACCGGGGACACATATTCATTTAGAAAAGACGTACAAAAGTGCATTTTGCATGATAGGTCCCCTTTAAGATCCCCCACTAGAGGACAGTGAAACATCAGATACTGAACCAGGACCCTGAGACACATTCTAACATCCATCAGTGACTGTTTTGGCACATTTAAATGCATCTTTTGTTTTTAAAGATTAAATGAGTTAAACTTATTGCCATTTTAGTCTTTTAACATCTGAGGTAATTTACTGTATATTAGACTTACACTTCACACTTTGACTGATTGGAAAGCAACTCTTTAAAACGGGTTTCACTTGAATGTACATAGAACTTGAAATAGATGAGGGCAGAGAGAAAGAAAAACTGTATGGTGTATGAATAGAGGAGTGAAGGAAAAGGACACATTAAGGAATGAAAGGTCAAGGGATGAAAGGATGAATGGTTATGGGGTGGAAGGATTGAGGGATAAAGAGTCAGGGTGATGGAAGAGAAAGGGAGGGTGGTTTGTAAAATATGAATATCAGCATTTTTCCAAAGGCAAATCATTGAAATAGATTCTCAGTTGAAAACTCTGTCTGTGGATCTTCATATCAGAAACATCTCAGATCCTTATGAACACTGTGGCTCCTTTCCTTCCTATAGTGACACATCACCACATAGGGACAATATGGGAGATATACAAAGGCAACACTTATTACATTTTGTTTTTGTATTGCTAGCTAATAATGAAACATTATATACCGCAAAGTGAAACAGAAAACCTGAATCTGATCTTTTCCAAACACTCGTCCGATGGTCCTTCACTTGTTGTAGAGCTGGCTGTTGATTTATTCTGATTTGAATCTTACACAGTAACATCTAACAAGGTCTTCTAGTGAGCTTATGTTTCATGGTGTGAACATCTAAACTGTACATGGAGTGAAATGTGATGTTTTTAGGCTCTCTCTGTTTTGAATAGACTTAATTGGCTCTGTCAGCAGGACAGTTATTAACCAAGACACTGATGAGGATTTTTCAAAGTTATTTATTATGTGAAATAAAAAAAAACAATTTGACTAGACTTTTGTAATATCAACAACTCTGCAGTCTGCATATAACAAATAAGCATGTACACATAGTTGAAGCAGTAATATAGAGCACCTGACCACCGGCTGGTCTTAACGATAAATCATGTTTGACACCTCGACATGATTCACTTCAAGCTGCCAGCAGCTCATTCTCTAAGGCCCCGCTCACACGGGACCGTTTGCGTTTATGCACAGTATGCGTATTCAAAAAAGTCTTCCGTTCACATGCATTTGTTTCATTTAACGTGTCTGTTTAAACGAGGCCGCTGGAAACGCTGTAGTACATATGCTGGGACTGTAAGTGGCGCTGTAACTTCCGCCAAAATACACCAAAAGCCGCGAAGAAGAGCAGCCTGGAGCAGCCCCGCAGCAATGTTGCCATGGCTACCCTTCTGTTTAAGCCCTGAAACTGAAACTGAAACTGAAAGAAACTGAAAGAAACCGAATCTGTTGTTGCTGATGGTTGTGGTAGAGGAGCTGTATATTTTTGCACTAATATCTGTAGCATGGTCAGTAGCAGTAGCACTAGCAGTAGCTACTGACAGGAGGAAGTCAGTGTCTGTGGCGATTGCTGGTATTCAGCGGGATATAGTCATTTCCTCAGCATATGGATAAATGCAACGGGGAAGTTAACTGAAAGAAACCAAGAAGCACGTCTCTGTGGATATTGCATCGAGAGGACGGCTCAAAAAGAGAGATATTCTCTACAAACACCGGGTGAGATGCACCTTTGTCAATATAATGGATCAATGCATGAAATCTGACTCTGTTTATTTTGTTTAAGGAGTATATTGGGCGTTAACAATTCTGGTTTGCCTTTTATAATATTATTTCATTCAAGAACCCCTTGTGCGTTTAATTAACACAGCTATTTTTGATGGTTGCTACAGCAATGAGCAGGAGAGGTGCTATTTTTTTTTTTTTTCGCTATTTTTTCAGGAAATATTCGTATAGAGGTGATTACACGGACTCGGTTGACCCCCCAGAGCGTTTCGTTTGCAAATCTATCCACCTTGGGACCCGTTATCGTTTGTGGGGTCAGTTTCTATCGGCCTCGTGTAAATAATAGGGCTATACGCACGCGAAACTATGCAGATACAAGCAGTTTTCTCCTCGTGTAAACGGCGCCTAAAGCTACAAGCTGCTGCTACTGAAAACTGACAGTAAAAGCTTTAAGAGTTGAACGTGAATATATCCACTTCGCACACATCCTGCACAGCCTCGCTCTCCTCAGGGACATTTCAACGTCCTTCTTCTTTGTTTCCATCAGGTGAGCGTCTGAAGAAAATCACAGAAACTTTGTGTAAAGTTACAGCTGGAACTGTGACTCTAAATGTGGAGTGGGCCTGTTATATCTCTCACAGGCTCCGCCCTCTACTAATATAACAAGGGTTACAATACGTAACCCGGCGTTTTACCTGATGCAGGAGGCTCTAATCTGACTGGACTTCACACCAGGTCTTCCTGCTCCTCTCTGTCTTCTCTCTGTGCTGCAGTGTGTGAGTCGTTCTGATACTCAGGGATAGAGTCCAACTGATGAAGAGAGAGAAGATACAATTAGACCCTCATTCATGAAACCTGCATATACTTTAAGATTTTATAAAACATTGTTCATATTTTAAAGTTGACCCCAATTATTTCTTGGCTAAATTAATTACTGGTTTCAACTCAGGAAGTTGTCTTCAATCACAAGTTCTCTTCTCATTGCATTTATGAGCCACAGTATAGCTTTGACGAAGGGGTAATGTTGTCAATAGGTCCGCTCTCTCTCACCTCTATCTCTTCAGGTTCATGTGCTTCAGTGGTGGAGCGCAGAGCTTTCTTCTTCCTGGATTAAGGGCAAGAACAAATACAGATTTTATTTCATAACAGTAAACCAAAAGATGTTAGAAGGATGTGTGAAGTGATGAATTGATATGGTTGTACCTCGTCCAGAGACTCAGGAGAAACACAGGAACCAGCATCAAGACCCCCAGAGTCGTCCTGATGATATTCACTATCATTGGTGAACTCCCTTGAAACATGAACACATATGTGATACTTCTAACTACTAGATTGATCAATCACATTGTCAGTGTGATCCACCTCTGACACCATGGAGGTTCCTCCCTGGACACTGACATTTTGAATATGCTTGGGTTGCTTCAGATTACAAAGTGAATCAGGTCTGGTGAATGTAGAGAACTTACCTGTTCCAACACTCAGATGAAAGGTGGAGTTACTACGTCCTAACTTGTTCTGGGCTCCACAGGAATAACTCCCACTGTGTTCAGCTCTGAAGTCAGTGATGGTGAAGATCTGTCCTGAAGCTTTTGGAGAGTCTTCATCCTCCTTGTACCAGGTGTAGCTAGCTGCTGGGTTAGCATCACTGCTACAGGTCAGAGTCACTGAACTGCCCTCCTCTATCTCAGCAGAGGGACTCACTGACACAGAGGGGAGCTTTGGAGCATCTGGAAGAGAAAATTCATGTTAACATTTATATTTTTTTATGACACATGATTTACTATTTTATAATTTATTTGTAAACTATCCCTAGTCATCTATATTGTAATTTGATCAGGTGTCGAATCAAAGATTCCTGCTTATGGAGAAAGCCACTGAAATGGCTTAATCTTAATATTAATGGCTTCACAACTCATGCTTCTCTCTGTTAACTGGCTTTAATAGAGCATCTAAGTAAAATAAACTGTATAACATCAAACATTATCCCAATCCAATCCCAATCCATTGTATTTCTATAGCACATTTAAAACAACAGAGCTGAACAAAGTGCTGTGCATCAACAACTGTATAAAAACATAGCATACATACATAAAAAACAGACAGGACATGAAACAAATGTGAAACACGAGACAATGAAACCAGATCAGAAGCCACAGACTGAGAAACTCTCCTACATGACGTACAAACAATACAAAACACTAGTAAGATAAAAACCCAAATGTAAAAGCGTGTCACACCTGTTCTTTAAATGCCAGGGAAAAGAAGTGGGTTTTTAAACGAGATTTAAAAACAGGCTGAGTTGGAGCAAGTCTAACCTGGAGGGGCAAGTCTGACCTGGAGGGGCAAGTCTGACCTGGAGGGGCAAGTCTAACCTGGAGGGGCAAGTCTAACCTGGAGGGGCAAGTCTAACCTGGAGGGGCAAGTCTGACCTGGAGGGGCAAGTTTGACCTGGAGGGGCAAGTCTAACCTGGAGGGGCAAGTCTAACCTGGAGGGGCAAGTCTAACCTGGAGGGGCAAGTCTAACCTGGAGGGGCAATTTGTTCCATAACTTTGGAGCTGCAACAGCAAAGGTTCAACCTTGATTTAGGGACGACCAGAAGGAGTCTGTCAGCAGACCTCAGTGACCGTGTGGGTGTGTTTGGTTTTAAAAGATCTGCCAGGTACGCTGGGGCTAAACCGTTTAGGGCTTTGTATGCAAACAGTAACATTTTAAATCGTATTCTAAAACTGACTGGTAGCCAATGTAAAGAGGCGAGTACAGGCGTAATATGTTCACACCTGCCTGTCCTTGTAAGGAGGCGTGCAGCATCATTCTGGACCAGCTGTAGGCGAGACAGGGAAGCCTCGCTTACTCCAATGTACAGAGCATTGCAGTAATCCAGTTTAGTGGATATAAAACAATGTATTACTTTCTCAAAGTCATTAAAAGAAAGGAAAGGCTTGACCTTTGCTAAAAGTCTTAGCTGAAAGAAGCTGGATTTGACCACAGAATTGATCTGTTTGTCTAGTTTAAAATCACGATCAATCCGTACACCCAGGTTTGTGACAATGGGTTTCACATATGGGACAAGAGAATCCAGCACAGGCGGGGCATTGGGGCCACCACTGGGTCCACATATTATCACCTCAGTCTTTTTTTCATTGAATTTAAAAAAGTTTAAGGCCATCCAGGCTCTGATGTCCTGCAGACAGTCAGACAGACGTTGCTGAGGGTTTGGGTCATTTATTTTCAGGGGCATGTAGATTTGCGAGTCATCTGCATAAAAATGAAATGAGACGCCATATTTTTTTAATGATAGCGCCCAGTGGGAGCAGGTACAGGGAAAATAAAATCGGCTCAAGAATAGAGCCTTGGGGTATCCCGTACGGGAGAGGAGCAGAGGAAGCAGAGCATTAGATGCAGCAACAACGTTTTTATACTTCAAAATGTCATTAAAAAAGAACTGTACATATTTGTATTCATAACAAAGTAATGTCTGTATGTAACACTTAACATGTTGGGTTTATTGAAAGCTAAAGTGCTTGTAGGATACTTGTTTTTATCTTTATGGTTGTCTGTAATGTACTGTAGAAGACTCCGATGAGGTTATGTACAGTATGTCTTTAATGTCAGTTCATGTGTGTATGAGTAAACTCACACACTGCAGGAGAGGGGAAGTCTTCATGTCCTTTCAGAGCACAAGAGATGTTGTCTCTGGGCTGAAACCAGCCTTCATAAGAAGATGTATTCGTGGATGTGATTTTCTCTCCGTTCTTGAACCAGACGTAGTTCAGAGAACCAGCTGGACTGCAGCTGCTGTGACACTTCAGCTCTGCCTCGGTAGAATAGTTGTAGACCTTTGCTCTGATCACCTGCACCTGGAGAGCTGGACGTTAGAACAAGAAACAATAATAAGGCAAGGCAAGGCAAGTTTATTGATATAGCACCTTTCAATGAAGCAACAGAAAAAAATGATGATAAATAAATAGAGAAAAACAACAGTATCTATTCATCAAACATTCATTACACAAACTGATTGATCATTATCAACATTTAGAGTATTTTTAACTGTCCTGGTGTATTTACATCAGGGTGTGTTGATCAGTACCTGTGACAGTCAGAGTTGTTCCAGGTAAATCACTCCCCCATTCAAAGCTTGGTGTTTTGAATTTGAAGAGATACTGAGCTGAATCTGAGTCTCTCAGGTCAGAGGTCCTCAGAGTGAAGCGTCCTCTCTCTGTTTCAAGGATCTGAACACGACCTGCATACTGGGAGTCTTCACTAAGGTCCTCAGGTTGAGAGGGATTCTGTCTCTGATGACTACGCTCAGGTCTGAACCAGAATTTAGATTTAACATCATCTTCAAAGCTGCTGTACGTGCAGGAAATGTCCACTGATGATCCTTTTAAGGCGCAGATGCTTCTCTCAGTGTAAATCACTCTGTTGCAGGTTTGACCTCTGACACCTGAAAAATAAAAACATATTTGTATATGTGCATTTCCATCCTTCTTGTACCAGGTGTAGTTAGCTGCTGGGTTAGCATCACTGCTACAGGTCAGAGTCACTGAACTGCCCTCCTTTATCCCAGCAGAGGGACTCACTGACACAGAGGGAGGCTTTGGAGCATCTGGAGGAGAAGTGTTTAAAGTTATTCACATTAAAGGGTAGATATAATGGCAACTTGCAAATGTCCAGAGGCACAAAGCAGGAAACGTTTTTCACAAACACAATGCAAAACATGTTAAAGCTCGGAGCATCTGGAGGAGATAACATGAACACATTTCACATTTAATTCCACGGTGGAAGATGTTTTAATGAATAATAGTTTAATAAAACACAGAGTGTTCACTTGATTCCATCCTTTATCAGAAATCAAAACACTTTGAGGGAACGTGTTAATCTTTATGTCATGGAAGAAGTTTCCTTCATAATTCTCCTTTATTCTTCTTTCTAGTAGCATCCCTCGTAGCTAGATTATATTTTACCTATTTTAAAATCAGACAGAAAACCTAGAGCTCTGGTTCAGTGTCTTTGCACACTGCCATGTCTGCTGGTGACCTCTGGTGGGTAAATAGATACATGAGTGCAATGATGATATATGTTATACTGTATGTTAATGTTATTATGTTAGTGGAAGACTTTGAGTAAACTCACACACTGAAGGAGAGGGGAAGTCCTCATATCCCTTCAAAGCACAGGAATAACTGTCTGCTGAATCATATCTGAAGTCTGCATAAGAAGATGTGTCTTCCTTCACTTCCTGTCCGTTCTTAAACCAGATGTAGGAAGTTTGACCAGGTGAACATCTGCTGAGACACTGAAGGAGAGTAGACAATCCTGATCTGTTCTCCACCTGGAGATCTGAATAAAGCTAGAATTAACAAAACTGTCATTATGTTTGTACATAAATATAAATCAAAACATTCACACTATTTGCAAGAAGTTGAAATTAAGAAATGAATTGTTATAACTCAGTTATTGTCATAAACCCAGTGTAAATGTTACCTGTAACAGACAGAGTGGTTCCAGGAAAACCCCAGTGTGCATCTTGGTTTGTTATGATCCTTAAATGGTACTCAACTGAGTCGCTCTCTGTCAGGTTTCTGATTCTCAGAGTGCAGATGTTGTTTTCACAGAGATCCTCTACACGACCTGCATACTTTGAGACTGTGGTCAGATCTACAAATTCACCATCTTTCTTTTTAGTGAACCAGAATGTTTTCTGTACTGTGTTAACACGACCTTTCCATGTAGATGGGTATGTGTAGCTGCATCTTATCTCCACTGTTGATCCTTTCACTGCACAGATCTTAGTAGAAGTGTAATTCACTCCCCAGCCACGCTGACCCTGAACCGCTGTAACACAGAGCACACCAGAAACTATAATCAAAGTTAATCTATAAATTGTTGAGAAATTGCCGTACAGTACTTTCAACAAAGAATGTAAAAATAAACCTTTTACAAACTTTACTGGGATAGAGCAGAAACACACATTTGAATTCCTTATTAGGCACAATTGGAAAAAGCCTTCATATAAATGAACAGTGAATGATTAGCGATCACATTAATTAGAATAGTGTGTGATTCTCTGTCCAGTTCCCTCTCTGCTCGCTCTGTGGTCAGGATGCTGCTGAGGTAAGTGTGAACAATAACTATGAATGCAGAGCACTGAGGTGTGAGCAGCTTCTGTCTGATATACAGATAAGAAAAAGAAGAAGACTGCTGTAACTCAGGGTGTGGAAATATAACACTGAGGTCAGAGAGGAGAGAAGGAACTAGAAGGGTTTGGTGCAGAGGTATGATCCATAAGAGTTGAGTCGATATGTTAAGACTTAGAATAAGAATATCTCTCTAAATCACTTAAACTTAATAAAAACAGAGTTTTAAGTCGTCTTAAGAAAAAAACTAAGCAAAAAGTTTTCACAGAGAGAGGATGGAACAGTTATGCATACACTATATTCTCATTTTAACGCTTGTAAAAGTGATAAGCAAACTGATATTTGATCCAGATGATTGGAGCAAAGGACAGTGGCAACGCACGATAAGTTCTTCAGAATATCCATCAAACAAACTAGTAACGTCTTTGAGTTTCTACAATTCTACACACAAATACATTTAAAATGTTTCTGCTAGGTTTGCCTTTTACACAAATCCATCCCACTTATTCCCACATGTGACCTGATTTAACAAGTCCCACATTTCCCAGAATCCCCTCTGTTCATGTGATGAATGTAAGTGTAGATGTACAGTACCTGACACAGAGAGCAGGAAGACGACTAATCCACTCGCTGCTGCAGTTAGACTCATAGCTGCTCCTCTCCTCTCTGAGAGACTATAAAACATGTCAGATTAAATAATGTTCACAGGAGGTATACAGAATCATTACATCAATAAACTGTTTCTACTCACAGTGAAGGAGGAACCATGTGTTCAAAGATGCCGTCTCTGTCGTCAATGAGCAGAAGACGGATATCAGGCTGTTAAGAGACTAGATTTCCTTCCTCTTTAGATTATTAGTATGCATGATGAGCCAAATGCCAGTTAACACCCACTACACAATTAAGTCATGTTTTTAATTTAGTAATCTCAAAGAACCTACAAAACAAACAGAACTTAAAAACATGCATAACGACTCAAAGGACAAGACAGAGCTAGGCAGGCAGGAAAAACACAATGGTACCCGGTGAACAGAATCAAAAATCAAAAAGGAGGGAAAACACAGAGACAGGAAGCAGACACAGACATAAGACAGGGGGTGAACACTTCTGAAAATAAAACAGGAAAACAGACAGACCGTCACAAAGGGGGAAATAAGTGTTTTAGTTTGGGTGAACTGACCCTTTAAAGCAGACGGTGGAGGGAGCTCTCTGAGTGATGAAGCCTGAATGTGTGTCACTTAAGATCCTCCACTAGAGGACAGTGAAACATCAGATACTGAACCAGGACCCTGAGACACATTCTAACATCCATCAGTGACTGTTTTGGCACATTTAAATGCCTCTTTTGTTTTTAAAGATTAAATGAGTTAAACTTATTGCCATTTTAGTCTTTTAACATCTGAGGTAATTCACTGTATATTAGACTTACACTTCACACTTTGACTGATTGGAAAGCAACTCTTTAAAACGGGTTTCACTTGAAAGTACAGATGGAGCATCTTATTTCAGACTCCAGCTTACTGCTTCCTGCCTACTACCTGCCAGCTACCTGCCAGCTACCTGCCAAAGACCAGCATCTGGGAATGTTAAGCCCTCCCACTATTTTCCAAGAGGGCGTTGCCAGATTTTCAATTTCAGGATTTAACCAGGAGATGGCGCTTCCTTCACAAAAACAGGAAGACAACTTTCATGGACTTTCAGTTTTGTTTAGAAGAGCATTTGAACACATCAATATTTTAGATCAAATAAAGTATATCTAATCTTGTAATTCAATAATATATAGTCTTTATATATTAAATAACTATGGCCAAACTAAAACTTAGTTTTTCAAAAGAGAAAATGCAGATATTATATAAAAAACTAAAGTTAAAATCTTGTTTTTAATGCCCCAAGAGCAATAAAAACACTTGGTAAAAAAATACAAGCTGTAAAAATACTTATATATATTTAATACTAATAACATAATGATTAATTTCAGATGATAATACTTTTCAGTGTCTGTCTCATGCAGCAGCTGACCCGGCCGACAGTAAAAATAAACATTTATAACTAGTTTAGGTTGTTTGAGAGGTAATTCAAATAGCTAAGGGTGATGATCTGACTTGAAGTGTGTGTTTTTGCTCCTAATTAAATGTGTACAAGATGTGAAGTCAACAGGTATTCACTCAGAGGGGGGTACTGTAGCTACTATTTATTTTCTAATGCATATAGGCTCAGTCAAGAATTTGAATGGGATGGGGAGACGTGTGTGATTAAAAATGAGTGTCCAAACTATGGCCAAACTAAGACTTAGTTTTTCAAAAGAGAAAATGCAAATATTATATAAAAAACTAAAGTTAAAATCTTGTTTTTAATGCCCCAAGAGCAATAAAAACACTTGGTAAAAAAATCCTGAGTGAGGCTTTCATAAATTGCATTTAGCTGACGCTTTTATCCAAAGCGACTTACTATTTAATAAATGATAAATGATTATTCATAACAAATATGAGTGATGTGTGATTATTATTCATGCTATATACTGATATAGGGCTAAGTAAGCAGTCAATCCTGCAAATTAACCCTTAGTTGTTCAATATATTTATTCAGACAATGTGAGTAGAAATACAGAAAGGTGCGACGGGGTGGGGGGGGGGAGAGAGTTAGACGCTCGTGAATTGTCAACGTGGGGGGGGGTGTTGTCGGCCGTAAGCGAACCGGGCCGTTGGCGTCCGGCCGTTCTGTGATTCTGACTGCACGTTGCTGACACACAGCGCTGCAAACTCTCTGCACAGAGGAGCCGCGGAGGAAGAGACACACGTTCACCAAGCCGAAAATCCGGTCACAGTGATCTGCTATTTTAAAGTAAATTCAACACATATCGACCCTAAATATAGCATATATAAAGCAATGCTTTTTGCTCCCAAGTCAGCGTCCTCCTCTTGCCTCTCCATTGACACCCTTGATGGCGTTTCTGTTGAGTTTGTTGATACCTACAAATATCTGGGCTTTTGGTTGGACAGTAATCTGAACTTTAAACACCATATTGAAGTTTTAACAAAGAAATTGAAATTCACTCTTGGCTTCCTTTACAGACTTAAATGTTGTTTTTCAATTTCATCTCGTAAAAGGTTGGTCTCTGGCTTATTCCTGTCCCAGCTGGACTACGGTGATACAACAGGTATTCACTCAGAGGGGGGTAGGTACTAAATGCCACCCATTTACATGTAGGCAAACAAAGTCAAAAATCAACATACAGTAGGGGGGTGGGGGATGGTGAACGGTATGTGGGACACTGAAAAGTCTATGTTAAAAAGCCTCAGTCACCTTAATTCATGTAATAAAAACATCTCAGGTCAGTAACACTGAAAGCTAAATGTGCAATACCATGTTCAGCTATGTTACTATTTATAATGTTATTGTTGTTACAACAGAAGATGTTTTTCTTTATATTGAAGTTAAATGCATCAATCTGGTGCACTTTGAGGTCAAAATTAAGAGATTTATGGATACCGCTGGAAAAAGCTGCAGTACATATGCCGAGCCTGTACGTAGCGCTGTAACTTCCTCCACAAAAGCAGCCTTCTGTTTATTCAACGTGGTGGGGGCCGAGGGAACCGGGCAGAGTTTTTCGCCGGTCAACGTGTGTGAAAGTTTAAATCTTCCTTATTGAGCTTTAAAACAAATGAATAACGACTATATATAATAATAAAATAAACACCGGCTGTTGTTATGCCTGCTGTAACGTTAAATTACTCCGTTCTCCGCTTGTAATTATGCCGTTACAAGCTTGACTGCCTCACAGTTCTCTGATGTTTTTAATGCTTCTCCGATCTGTAAATTAGATGTGAACTGTGCTTTTAATGCTGATGAGCTTATCTCCATGTTTGACTCGACATGCACACTAATACTGGATTCTGTTGCTCCTTTTACGCTTAGACGCACCAAAGTTCTATCAGAGCCGTGGCTCAATGACTGTACTCGTGCTCTCAGACGCGCTTGCAGACGTGCAGAGAGAAAATGGAAAAAGGATAAACTCCATGTCTCCCTAGAAATCCTTCGTGCTTGCCTTTCTGACTACCAGACGGCAGTCAAAGCAGCCAAAACAGAGCACATTTCTCTGTTCATCTCCAAAAACAGCCATAAACCTCAGGTTCTTTTTAATGTCCTCAACTCTATCATTAATCCCTGTGATGTTTCTTCTATTGTCCCATCGACTACTCTCTGTGATAAGTTTCTTACATTTTTTATTGAAAAAGTATCTGCTCTTAGGCTAGCCCACACTAGTGCTACCCCAGATCCTGCTCCTTTTCTGTGCCCTGCTGTCCTCGACCACTTTGAGCCTGTATCCCTCTCTTCTCTCTCGGATGTAGTCAAGCACCTGCGGCCGACAAACTGCACCTCAGACAGCATTCCCTCTCGCCTTCTCAGAGATGTTTTTGATTCAGTTGGAGCAAGTATTTTATTACTTTTAAACACCTCTCTTAGCTCAGGATGTGTCCCACTGCCTTCAAACATGCCGTGGTTAAGCCACTACTTAAAAAGAAAAATCTCGACCCCTCCATTCTCGCAAATTTTAAGCCCCTCTTACCTGTGGGGTTCCCCAAGGCTCGATTCTGGGCCCCATCCTGTACATACTGCCCCTAGGTTCAATTCTCACAAAACATAATATTCTCTTCCACTGCTACGCCGACGATGTACAGATATATCTGCCTCTCAAAGCAAATGTCAAACACTCACTACAGCAGTTGATGGACTGCTTAACAGAGATAAAATCCTGGCTGAGCAAAAACGTTCTCAACCTCAACGAGAGCAAGACTGAGGTCATCTTTTTTGGACCCCAACCTCCAGCCTCTCCGGTTGATATTGTGGGCTCTCTCAAAAAAAACATCCTCCCCTCGGTCATGAACCTTGGAGTGACCTTCACTAGCACTTTTAAATTCGACAAGCAGGTCAGCACCGTAGTCAAAACCTGCTTTTTAAAAATAAGACTATTGGCCAAAACCAAGTCGTATTTATCTTTTAATGACTTAGAAAGGGTTATTAACGCCTTTGTTACCTCAAGACTGGACTATTGCAACGCTCTGTATGTGGGTATGGACCAGGCCTCAATTAAACGCCTGCAGCTAGTCCAAAACGCAGCTGCACATTTGCTGACTGGCCACAAAAAGCGTGACCACATCACCCCAATTCTGGCCTCACTGCACTGGCTTCCAGTTCGGTTCAGAATTGATTTTAAAATCCTTTTATTTGTTTTTAAAGCACTAAATGGGCTGGCTCCGGCCTATATAGCAGAACTGCTCCAGCACTACACCCCAGCCACAGCTTTAAAGTCTGCTGACCAGCTGCTGCTGGTAGTGCCCAAGACCAGGCTTAAAACCCGAGGGCACCGAGCCTTCGCAGCAGCTGGCCCTAGGCTCTGGAACACTCTGCCCCTCCATGTGAGGTCGGCCCAGACCCTAGGGGTTTTTAAATCTACACTAAAAACACACTTCTTCTCTCTGGCCTTCTAGTTAGAGCGGAGTACGACTCCTGACTTTTCCTTGTGTTTTATTTTTATTTTTTATATATATCTGTTGTAATTTATTGTCTTTTATTGTGATTGTAGTAATGTGTTTTTATTACATGTACAGCACTTTGGCTCGACCAAAAATCGCTTTTAAATGTGCTTTATAAATAAAACTTGATTTGATTTGATTTGATTCAAAGTTGTATTTATCATCTAAATTTGCCGAAACAAGTTTAATATTCTGAAAGCCAAGACTTTGTTTATTTGAAATCAGATGAAAACAAACTGTAACGGTCCCTGCCGTGTTATCTATGATTACTATATGCCTTACTGTACATTCATAATTTCAGCCGGAGGGAGGGGGGCGGCGCTGTGGAAGAGCAGATTGCGAGTGAGAGGTGCCTGTCATCTTCCCTTTACAAGCTTCACAAATGTATTTATCGTGTGATTTTGGAAATAAAAGTTTCATATTCTGAAAGCCAAGACTTTGTTTATATATTATACGTGGGTAGCTATGACGTCAGAAGGAGTTACCGTAAATGAGAGCTGCCGTAAAAGTGTTTCTAGGATTTCTAAACAAACTATTACAGCTGTTATAAAGCATTAAATAAAAAGTCATGAAAGAGATAAGGAGGAGAAAAGGTTTAAGGAAGTAAGCAATGAATACAGAATGTCGAAATCCTCTGTTTCACGCGATGTCGAACATTGAAGACAGAGGACGGCGGTCCTCCAATCTACACAGCGGGAGAAAGAAGATCATAAAGCAGATCGGAGGAGACATCACGATCTTTCCCACATTAGTGCAATTCACCTATACTTAACCCCAAATAAAAGAACCCAATAAAAACAGTTGTTAAATAATAGTGAAGTCACGTTGTAATAATAACTCATCTCTCGGTTTGAGTGTTCTTTTTCTGCTTTTCTGACTATTTCTCATTGTGGGGAAAAATAACACCCAGGGATCCTGATCGTTTTAATGAGGTTGAATACAGAATATTCATATTTGTCAGTGATTTCATGTCAATTCGGCGAACATAAACATAAATGATCGTGGTGAAGATGATGATTAAATTAGGATTAAAAATCGGGAGAGCCGGCTGCATTTCCTCTCGTTCGTTTTTTTCGACTAAACAACATTATTTTGTTAAATAACAACATGGTGATGTTTTGTAAATGATTACATGTCTTATTTAGCACAGACTATGATCCTATCCGTGACATATGGATCTTAACAAAGATCCGCTATACATTAGTACCAGACATACTGTACATCCAGCTTACTGTATCGAAGTTGATTTCACATGAGCTCCAGTGTGGAACGCCACTGCACCCCCTGGTGGATCAATGATCCATTGCAGCTGGCTTCACAATAATTAAATGTATTTATCACGGGGGCGGTCTCAAGTCAGACTGGGGGCCGGCTCTTCATCACGAACCTTTCACGGGCCGATCACGGACCGTGCACGAGCCAACCACGACCCTCGCGTTTCAAACTGTCCTAAATAAGACGCTCCATCTGTACGTAGAACTTGAAATAGATGAGGGGAGACAGAAAGAAAAACTGTATGGTGTATGAATAGAGGAGTGAAGGAAAAGGACACATTAAGGAATGAAAGGTCAAGGGATGAAAGGATGAATGGTTATGGGGTGGAAGGATTGAGGGATAAAGGGTCAGGGTGATGGAAGAGAAAGGGAGGGTGGTTTGTAAAATATGAATATCAGCATTTTTCCAAAGGCAAATCATTGAAATAGATTCTCAGTTGAAAACTCTGTCTGTGGATCTTCATATCAGAAACATCTCAGATCCTTATGAACACTGTGGCTCCTTTCCTTCCTATAGTGACACATCACCACATAGGGACAATATGGGAGATATACAAAGGCAACACTTATTACATTTTGTTTTTGTATTGCTAGCTAATAATGAAACATTATATACCGCAAAGTGAAACAGAAAACCTGAATCTGATCTTTTCCAAACACTCGTCCGATGGTCCTTCACTTGTTGTAGAGCTGGCTGTTGATTCATTCTGATTTGAATCTTACACAGTAACATCTAACAAAGTCTTCTAGTGAGCTTATGTTTCATGGTGTGAACATCTAAACTGTACATGGAGTGAAATGTGATGTTTTTAGGCTCTCTCTGTTTTGAATAGACTTAATTGGCTCTGTCAGCAGGACAGTTATTAACCAAGACACTGATGAGGATTTTTCAAAGTTATTTATTATGTGAAATAAAAAAAAACAATTGGACTAGACTTTTGTAATATCAACAACTCTGCAGTCTGCATATAACAAATAAGCATGTACACATAGTTGAAGCAGTAATATAGAGCACCTGACCACCGGCTGGTCTTAACGATAAATCATGTTTGACACCTCGACATGATTCACTTCAAGCTGCCAGCAGCTCATTCTTCTAAACCTACAAGCTGCTGCTACTGAACACTGACAATAAAAACTTTAAGAGTTGAACGTGAATATATCCACTTCGCACACATCGTGCACAGCCTCGCTCTCCTCAGGGACATTTCAACGTCCTTCTTCTTTGTTTCCATCAGGTGAGCATCTGAAGAAAATCACAGAAACTTTGTGTAAAGTTACAGCTGGAACTGTGACTCTAAATGTGGAGTGGGCCTGTTATATCTCTCACAGGCTCCGCCCTCTACTAATATAACAAGGGTTACAATACGTAACCCGGCGTTTGATCTGATGCAGGAGGCTCTAACCTGACTGGACTTCACACCATGTCTTCCTGCTCCTCTGTGTCTTCTCTCTGTGCTGCAGTGTGTGAGTCGTTCTCATACTCAGGAATAGAGTCCAACTGATGAAGAGAGAAGATTAGACCCTCATTCATGAAACCTGCATATACTTTAAAGGACACCTATCATGCTATATTTAAATGATATATTGTAGGGCCATACCTATATAAGGTATATTTATACGTTTCTGTTTTCAAAATACCAAACAGATCATGCATTTTAGCCATGCCTCATTTCGCTCTATGTGCTGTTTGCTGTCTACGGGTCTGATTCTGCTGACCACGCCCCCCTGCAGGAGAGGTGAGCCGTGCTCTGATCAGCTGCTGGGCTGTCAGAAGAGTGGGAGAAAAAGAGATCTCCGTCCTCCGTGTTTTATTATATAGAGTCGTTATTCATTTGTTTTAAAGCTCAATAAATAACAAAGAAGACCTTTGACCGGCACTTTTCTAATTTTGTCCGGAAGATTTAAACTTTAATGGACATCTTGACCGGCGAAAGAAACTGAAACTGAAACTCTGCCGCACGGTCCCCTCGTTCCTTGGAAGAGGCGGAGAGGTGGGTGTTTGTCATCTGCTGGTGGACTAACCGGAGAGAATTACAGTGCTTGCCTCGACGGGGAGGGATGCATTGAATTAAAGCAGCGGGAGCAAACGCTTGCCTCGGGGAGGGAGAAAAAAAAGCCACAGCGGAGAATAAACAGAAGGGTAACCATGGTAACCATGCGCGGGAAGTCTTCTTCGCTGCTTTTATGGCAGACTACAGCGCCACTTACAGGCCTGGCATATGTACTACAGCGTCTCCAGCGCTTTCGAGCGGCAATGGCCGTGGCCCAACCCCACATTCCCCTGATAGGTAGAGAGTTGCCCAATAGCCGTAGTGCCACTGTTCTGACGTCAGGACAGTGTTCAAATCTGTATCAGTCTGTATCAGATCCTTTGCAGCCCCTTTTTTAGAGATTTGGGTATGGAGGAAAATAGGGAGAGTTGTGTTTTCTGACACTTGGTGAGTTCTCTGGAACACCGGGGACACATATTCATGTAGAAAAGACGTACAAAAGTGATAGGTCCCCTTTAAGATTTTATAAAACATTGTTCATATTTGAAAGTTGATGCCAATTATTTCTTGGCTAAATTAATTACTGGTTTCAACTCAGGAAGTTGTCTTTGATCACAAGTTCTCTTCTCATTGCATTTATGAGCCACAGTATAGCTTTGAGGAAGGGGTAATGTTGTCAATAGGTCCGCTCTCTCTCACCTCTATCTCTTCAGGTTCATGTGCTTCAGTGGTGGAGCGCAGAGCTTTCTTCTTCCTGGATTAAGGGCAACAACAAATACAGATTGTATTTCATAACAGTAAACTAAAAGATGTTAAAAGGATGTGTGAAGTGATGAATTTATATTGTTGTACCTCGTCCAGAGACTCAGGAGAAACACAGGAACCAGCATCAAGACCCCCAGAGTCGTCCTGATGATATTCACCATCATTGTTGAACTCCCTAGAAACATGAACACATATGTGATACTTCTAACCACTAGCTGCAAGACTTCTCTCCCGGTCAAACAAATGGTCCCACATTACCCCGATACTCAGATCACCTCACTGGCTCCCTGTAGTTTATAGGATTAAGTTCAAAATCCTCACTCTTACCTGTTCCAACACTCAGATGAAAGGTGGAGTAACTACGTCCTAACTTGTTCTGGGCTCCACAGGAATAACTCCCACTGTGTTCAGCTCTGAAGTCAGTGATGTTGAAGATCTGTCCTGAAGCTCTTGGAGAGTCTTCATCCTCCTTGTACCAGGTGTAGTTAGCTGCTGGGTTAGCATCACTGCTACAGGTCAGAGTCACTGAACTGCCCTCCTCTATCTCAGCAGAGGGACTCACTGACACAGAGGGGAGCTTTGGAGCATCTGGAGGAGAAGTGTTTAAAGTTATTCACATTAAAGGGTAGATATAATGGCAACTTGCAAATGTCGAGAGGCACAAAGCAGGACACGTTTTTCACAAACACAATGCAAACCATTTTAAAGTTTTGGAGCATCTGGAGGAGATAACATGAACACATTTCACATCTAATTCCACGGAGGAAGATATTTTAATGAACAATAGTTTAATAAAACACAGAGTGTTAACTTGATTCCATCCTTTATCAGAAATCTAAACACTTTGAGGGAAAGTGTTAATCTTTATGTCATGGAAGAAGTTTCCTTCATAACTCTCCTTTATTCTTCTTTCTAGTAGCATCCCTCGTAGCTAGATTGTATTTGACCTATTTTTAAAATCAGACAGAAAACCTGGAGCCCTGGTTCAGTGTCTTTGGACACTGCCATGTCTGCTGGCGACCTCTGGTGGGTAAATAGATACATGAGTGCAATGATGATATATGTTATACTGTATGTTAATGTTATTATGTTAGTGGAAGACTTTGAGTAAACTCACACACTGAAGGAGAGGGGAAGTCCTCATATCCCTTCAAAGCACAGGAATAACTGTCTGCTGACTCATATCTGAAGTCTGCATAAGAAGATGTGCCTTCCTTCACTTCCTGTCTGTTCTTAAACCAGATGTAGGAAGTTTGACCAGGTGAACATCTGCTGAGACACTGAAGGAGAGTAGACGATCCTGATCTGCTCACCTCCACCTGGAGATCTGAATAAAGCTAGAATTAACACAACTGTCATTATGTTCAAAAATAACTATAAATCAAAACATTCACACTATTTGCAAGAAGTTGAAATTAAGAAATGAATTGTTATAACTCAGTTATTGTCATAAACCCAGTGTAAATGTTACCTGTAACAGACAGAGTGGTTCCAGGATAACCCCAGTATGCAGATAGGTTTGTTATGATCCTTAAATGGTACTCAACTGAGTCGCTCTCTGTCAGGTTTCTGATTCTCAGAGTGCAGATGTTGTTTTCACAGAGATCCTCTACACGACCTGCATACTTTGAGTCTGTCGTCAGATCTAAAGTTTACCATCTTTCCATTTAGTGAACCAGAATGTTTTCTCTACTGTGTTAACACGACCAAATCTCAATGTAGATGGGTATGTGTAGCTGCATCTCATCTCCACTGTTGATCCTTTCACTGCACAGATCTCAGTAGAAGTGTAACTCACTTCCCAGCCATACAGACCCTGAACCACTGAAACACAGAGCACACCAGAAACTATAATCAAAGTTAATCTATAAATTGTTGAGAAATTTCCTGAACAGTACTTTCAACAAAGAATGTAAAAATAAACCTTTTACAGACTTTACTGGATCGAGCAGAAACACACATGTGAATTCCTTAGGCACTTTAAAACCAATGATACTCTTTGACTTTGTTGTTTCTTAATCAAACCAGGTAGAACAGAAGTCTACACAAACAGGGTATGTTCAGTTTGACACAAGATTGGAAAATGCCTTCATATAAATGAACAGTGAATGATTAGCGATCATATTAATTAGAATAGTGTGAGATTCTCTGAACAGTTTCCTCTCTGCTCGCTCTGTGGTCAGGTTGCTGCTGAGGTAAGAGTGAACAAAAACTCTAAATGCAGAACATTGAGGTGTGAGCAGCTGCTGTCTGATATACAGATAAGAAAAAGAAGAAGACTGCTTTTAACTCAGAGCGTGGGAATATAACACTGAGGTCAGAGAGGAGAGAAGGAACTAGAAGGGTTTGGTGCAGACGTATGATCCATAAGAGTTGAGTCGATATGTTATAACTTAGAATAAGAATATCTCTCTAAATCACTTAAACTTAATAAAAACAGAGCTGGAGATTCTTGAAGTCGTCTTAAGAAAAATACAAAGCAAAATGTTTTCACAGAGAGAGGATGGAACAGTTATTCATACACTATGTTCTCATTTTAACGCTTGTAAAGGTTATAAGCAAACTGATATTGTATGCAGATGATTGGAGCAAAGGACAGTGGCAACGCACGATAAGTTCTTCAGAATATCCATCAAACAAACGAGTAACGTCTTTGAGTTTCTACAATTCTACACACAAATACATTTAAAATGTTTCTGCTGGGTTTGCCTTTTACACGAATCCATCCCACTTATTCCCACATGAGACCTGATTTTACAAGTCCCACATTTCCCAGAATCCCCTCTGTTCATGTGATGAATGTATGTGTAGATGTACAGTACCTGACAAAGAGAGCAGGAAGACGACTAATCCACTCGCTGCTGCAGTTAAACTCATAGCTGCTCCTCTCATCTCTGAGAGACTATAAAACATGTCAGATTAAATAATGTTCACAGGAGGTATACAGAATCATTACATCAATAAACTGTTTCTACTCACAGTGAAGGAGGAACCATGTGTTCAAAGATGCCTTTCCTCTGTAGCCAATGAGCAGAAGACGGATATCAGGCTGTTAAGAGACTAGATTTACTTCCTCTTTCGATTATTAGTATGCAGGATGAGCCAAATGCCAGTTAACACCCACTACACAATTAAGTCATGTTTTTTAACAAAATATCAACTTTTCTTAACACTAGAACCGCCAGAGATTTTTTATACCTAAAACCGCCACCTGGGTCAAATTGACCCGCTATTAGAATGCATTGATTTTCAAGGTAAAATGTTCTTTTATTGAACAGTGAGATTTGATCGCACAGGGATGAAATGTATACCAATATAATCTGTGGACTCTCAGGGCTCGACATTATAAATGGCCCGCTGGCCCGGAAGCATTATTTAGACACGGCGGCCAGCATAACGTACTTTCAACTCGCCCCACAGCTGTTTGCTGCGGAGCGCAGCGCGAGCAGTCTCCCGTGAGCGGGAGCGCACTCCTTCACTACAGACTGTCTCTATCTCTCTCTCTATCTATAACTATCTATCAATATATCTATCCATCTATCTCTCTCTCTCTCTCTCTCTCTCTCTCTCTCTCTCTCTCTCTCTCTCTCTCTCTCTCTCTCTCTCTCTCTCTCTCTCTCTCTCTCTCTCTAAATCTATCTCTCAATCTATAAGGAACCGCAGTAGACAAAAGGCGTTGCTATAGCAACACGTCATGTTTATATGAAAAGGGGTGGGGTCAATATGACCCGCTGGGCGGAAATAGGCAAGGCAAGGCAAGGCAAGGCAAGTTTATTTATATAGCACCTTTCAACACAAGGTAATTCAAAGTGCTTTACAAAAATGGAAGACATTTTAAAAATGGCATTTAAAATCAGTCATTAAAAAGAAAAGATAATAAAATAAACATTAAAAGAAAAAATACATGGATAAAAGTTAAAAGTTACAGTGCAGTTTAAGATGTGAATAGTTCAATTAAAAGCAGCGGCAAAAAGAAAAGTCTTCAGCCTGGATTTAAAAGTAGTCAGAGTTGCAGCGGACCTGCAGGTTTCTGGGAGTTTGTTCCAGATATTTGGAGCATAATAACTGAACGCTGCTTCTCCATGTTTAGTTCTGACTCTGGGGACAGAAAGCTGACCAGTCCCTGAAGACCTGAGAGTTCTGGATGGTTCATAATTTAGCAGTAGGTCAGACATGTATTTTGGGCCTAAACCATTCAAAGCTTTATAAACCAGCAACACTATTTTGAAATCTATTCTTTGACACACAGGAAGCCAGTGTAAGGACTTCAGAACAGGAGTGATGTGATCCACTTTCTTAGTGTTAGTGAGGACTCGAGCAGCGGCGTTCTGAATTAGCTGCAGCTTTCTAATAGATGTTTTAGTGAGACCTGTGAAGACACCATTACAGTAGTCCAGTCTACTGAAGATAAAAGCATGGACAAGTTTTTCCAAATCCTGCTGTGACATTAGTCCTTTAATCCTAGATATGTTCTTTAGGTGATAGTAGGCTGATTTAGTAACTGTTTTAATGTGACTGTTGAAACTCAGGTCAGAGTCCATGACTACACCTAGATTTCTGGCTTTATCTGTTGTTTTGAACATTGCAGACTGAAGCTCAGCGCTAACTTTTATACGTTCTGCCTTGGCTCCAAAAACCATTACCTCAGTTTTATCTTTGTTTAATTGGAGAAAGTTCTGACACATCCAGTCATTGATTTGTTCAATGCACTTACTCAGTGTTTGAATTGGAGCATAATCTCCTGGTGAAATTGTTACGTACATTTGTGTGTCATCCGCATAGCTATGGTAACTTATTTTGTTGTTTTTCATTATCTGAGCCAGTGGTAGCATGTAGATGTTAAAGAGAAGAGGCCCCAATATGGAGCCTTGAGGTACCCCACATGTCATATTTGTCAACTCAGATGTGTATTTACCTATAGAAACAAAGTTTTTTCTGTCCTTTAAGTAGGACCAATTTAGAACTGTTGCCGAAAGTCCCACCCAGTTTTCCAGTCGGTCTAGTAATATGTTGTGGTCAACAGTGTCAAACGCAGCACTGAGATCTAATAATACTAACACTGAAGTTCTGCCACTGTCTGTGTTTAAGTGGATGTCATTGAAGACCTTTACAAGAGCAGTCTCAGTGCTGTGGTTTGGACGAAATCCTGACTGGAACACATCCAAACAGTTATTTAAATGCAAGAAGTTACTCAACTGTTGAAATACAACTTTTTCAATGATTTTACCTAGAAATGGCAGGTTTGATATTGGCCTGTAATTGTTCATTACTGAGGCATCTAGATTATTCTTTTTTAAGAGCGGTTTAATGACTGCAGTTTTCAGGGCCTCTGGAAAAATACCTGAGTGAAGAGATGTGTTTACTATATGAAGTAGATCTGAGGCCATGCAAGGAAAAACATCTTTGAAAAATCCTGTTGGAATAATATCAAGGCAGCAGGAGGAGGATTTCAGAAGTTGAATAATGTCCTCTAAGTTTTTACCATTAATCTGATGGAATTGTGTCATGGTGTTTGAATTGATATTAGGTGGACATAGGGACAAAACATTTGCTGTACCTGATGCAGAGGCACTGACTGCTTGTCTAATTTTCTGAATTTTGTCAGTGAAGAAGGAGGCAAAATCATTGCACGCCCTGGTGGATAGAAATTCAGAGGCTACTGACACTGGGGGGTTAGTTAGTCTGTCGACGGTAGCAAACAAGGCACGTGCGTTGTTTTTGTTTTTGGTAATGATGTCAGAGAAGAAAGACTGTCGTGCGTTTTTCAATTCCAAATTATAAAGGCCAAGTCTCTCTTTATAGATTTCAAAATGAACCTGGAGATTTGTTTTTCGCCACCTACATTCAGCTTTTCGACACTCTCTTTTTTCTGTTCTCACGGTCATGGCCTTTCTCCATGGAGATATTTTCTTGCCAATCACTTCCTTTACCTTAGTTGGAGCAATGGCATCTATAACATTTTTAATTTTTGAATTAAAATTATCTACTAGCTCATTTACTGAGATGTTAGCAGGGGCAAGTGTGGATGAAAAATTATGAGTAAACATTTCCCTAGTATTTTCTGTTAAATAGCGCTTTGTGGTTACCTCTTTCTGAACATTTTTGTGAACAGAAATAGAGCTCTCAAAGAAAACACAGGAATGATCAGAGAGTGCAACATCAGTCACCACAACCTTTGAGATATTCAGACCCTTTGAGATAATTAAGTCCAGAGTGTGCCCCTTATTGTGCGTGGGCTCCGCCACATGCTGAGTCAGTCCATAGTTATCAAGAACACAAAACAGTTCTTTAGCCCCTCTGTCCTGGGGGTTGTCAACATGGATGTTA